TAGTTCGAGGGTAGAATCTTTGACCGATCAGTCCGGTTTCTATCCTGGCTTGAAGCAATCGGATATCTAGCCACACTGATGAACTATGATACAGCGAGGCAATCTGTCTTTTATTATATATATATATATATATATATATATATATATATATATATATATATATATATATATATATATATAAATTTCTAAACTAAGTAAATGATGGTTATCTATTATTCCGAAAGATTTTATCATTTTAAGGGTTAATTATAATGGATACATGTATTACTGTAGACAATCCGTTTAGTTAATAAACAGCATATTGTTTAATTTTAGCGTCCCGGATATGACGATAAACTACATCCGACGTCAAGGACTCTGATCAGGAGGTTTTGCAGAGCGTGGAACCACCTCTTCATTGCTGGTGTTCCTTTGTCCACCCTGACCCGTGCTGATAGCACCAGTTAGGGTCCCATTCATTGGAAAATAATTAGCCCTGAAACTGATGTCAAAACGTGTAAAAATATGTTTAATACCAGCAAACTTTTTTGTAAAAAATTGTTACCAGCAATAAATTTTTGAAGTAAAATTTATTACCAGTAATACATTATTACCAACAATCCTTTTTTGAAAAAATATTACCAACAATACATTTAAAAATCAAAAAGTATTATCAAAAAGGCTTTGTGAAAAAATATTATCAGCAATAAATATTTTGTCTGCAATAAAGACTCCATTAAGATTGATATCCCGTAAAACAAACCAAACCAAATTAATTTTCGTGTAACGGCCTGAATATTCAATAAATCTTATTACAGAAAAATGTTGGCTCTTCTGACAGTATTCATATCCGCGTCCTTCTCTATACGCCCGACGTGCTTCAACCAATTCGGTGACTAATTACCTTTTTTCCGATCAAGTAAGACTAAATAATGTCTTTAAGACACAAAAAAAACTTCTTGAAGAAGCACACTTACGATTATAACTTGGACAAAGAGGGCTCTTTGCTGCAATGGCAGAGCATTTATATGCATTATAATCAGCCTGTTTAAATCAGAACGAATATAAGTATAACTTTTCGGTCAAATCTAAACCAGATGATTATATATATATATATATATATATATATATATATATATATATATATATAACATAAATTATAGAACAAAGAGGAAACGTATATCAATCGAACGTGTTTCGCTTTTATCAAAGCATCGTCAGACCAGTGTTTCTCTCTTTTTATCTGTTTCTCTCAACATCTGGTTAAGCTTTAAAAACAAGTGTTAGACTGGTATACTTTTTCCTATTTATTCTTTATTTTATCATTCATCCTGCTCCGATCCGATCCATATTTGATCGGCATTATATATATATATATATATATATATATATATATATATATATATATATATATATATATAATAAATGCACATATACTTACGTTTGGTGTGCGACTTAAGTTTCGTTGGTTACCCAACTCCTCGGGAACAAGAGATATATGTGTATTTATTTATATATATTTCTTATCTTTGTCTAATCACATTGAGCACTATTATGTCTACACCTCGTGGATAAATTTGTTAATTATTTATTTGCTTGCCAAGTTATGCACGCCAGCACGCGCGTATACGGTCGCTAATATCTATTTATCTCATTTACCTAACCATATATTAATATATATATATATATATATGTGTGTGTGTGTGTGTGTGTGTGTGAGAGAGAGAGAGAGAGAGAGAGAGAGAGAGAGAGAGAGAGAGAGAGAGAAATAAGATGTGTGCTTTTCATGTGTCTGGTTTCTTCTTCGTACTTTTTTTTCTGGCAATTCTTCTGCACTTTTTCCTTCTACATAAAAAACAAAATTATGTTTTCTAAACCAAGACTCGCCGGTTTGTCTTACATTTCAAAACTATTAATGACTTCTTTTACAATTCCCTGGATATTTTCATTCTAAATATACCCATTCAAATACTCTGTCATTTTTTATCATTGCTCCTTTGATTCCAGAAAAAAAAAACGAAAAAAAAAAAAAAAAAGAACTAACCAACAACTACTGATTAATCTCGTTTTGAAACATTCATGCTGTATTTACTATGTGCTTGTAAAATAAATTAACTAAAAAAATAAAAGAAATTAATTAAAGATCTCGTTCGTCCATGTGTCTAATATCTTCTTACTTTCAAGTCTGTCTGTCTGTCTGTCTGTCTGTCTGTCTCTCTCTCTCTCTCTCTCTCTCTGCCTCTACAAGAGTCAACATTTCGAAGAGAACGAAACAGTAAGCAAGTAGCGGAGGTGGGTGGTGCAAAGATGCCATTGAATTGTGCTCGTGTGTGCGTGCTTCTCAGTGGATGTGATTTTGCTGGACGAATTTGTCAGTTTGGGATGTGAGGGGGACATCCCGTTCGGCTTTTTAGTGTTACCACTCGAGCCCCTTCAATTGTGCTTCTTGATGTACGTAGCTACTTTATATTTACAACATATAGAAAGAAAAAAAATATATATATATATATATACACACACCCACTTCGACGTTTCGAGTACATACTTCTCATCAGTCTCATATATGATAATTTCTTATTAACTAATATCGTATTTATATGCTACATGAAAAATCATAATCATAAATGCTTACCTTTAAATATGTTAAATCCTATATTTTTATTCCAATAATAATTAGAGATTATGTATTATAAACACACACACACACGTATATATTGGTTGAGAAAATATTTTTGTATATATTTCTGTAGTTGACATTATTACACCTTTTTATATAACAAATATTTTATTTAACTAATGTTCACTCTATACAAGGCTCAAGATTTACTCAAGGTAGTGTTTTACTGTCAATATAGCCAAGTGGATAAAAGCGTTGATTGGATCCATTGACATGACACAATTTGTAGTTCAATTTGTATAATTTGTACAAAAACTCGGTGAGTTGAATGAGAGGGGGTTAAATGAAACATCAGGAAGAGGTATGGCACTTGAAACGAGAACAATCTACCCCGGTGGAAGAATTAAAGTGTTCAGTTCCAATGACTTAAACAATTCCGGAGCGTACAATGGCCGAAACGTCGTGAATACGGCAATAAACATGAGGAAAACAGCTTGAACAATGTCAATAATCTAAATAAATACTATATCTGATCTCAAACATATAGACAGCTAGCATTTGTACAGTTATTCTGCTTCAAGCTCAATTAATTTTAATTATGTCATCTTTTCCTGCCACAGGCGTACAGTCAATCAGTTATAGGCGATCATGTATCTTTCGAGGCAGATATTTTCGCAGTAAGTTGCTATTTCTTTTTTGCGGTAGCCATACAAGGCTGTAAAACACTGTCTGTCCTGCTATTTAACTATAACTGGGTGGGGGGAAGAAGAAGAGGATTCATAGTTTTTCCAAGATTATTAGCACGTAAGTCAATGTAATGGATTCGACTGGAATTCGGACTCGGATCCCCGATTCCTCAATTCGAGCCGCTATCCATTACCCCACAAGTGTACACTAGATGAAATTCATCGCATTCGGAAATATTCATCGCATCCCGCGCGTTAGCTCACTAACATGTCCTTACTTTATATATATATATATATATATATATATATATATATATATATATATATATATATATATATATATGTGTGTGTGTGTGTGTGTGTTTACTCAAACAATTTTGTTCTTTTTCTCTGGACAAGTTTTTTTTTTCCTTTTCTTTCTAACTTTTTCACTTTCTACTTTAGTTTTAGTTAATATTCATTGAATATTGGTCCAAGTTCAGACGAGTTTGCCTTTGTCTAGATTCCTATGTACGTGAAAACAAGTAGTGTATTTCACATGACGGTAAAGAGGTCATTATTGTTATAAAAAAAAACAAAAAAAATCACCACTTGAAACACTACAAATAATCCCACGACGAATCAGTTTAAATTTCTACGTGAAAGAGAAACCAGTCAGAAATATATTTATTCAGAAGTATTCTTTCCGTATACTTGTAAAATTAAATTATGAATAATTGGCCTTTTTAAGCTCGGGTTTAAGTAATGAAGAAGTGAGGGTACTCTCTGTTCCCATGTGTGAAATAAAATACAGTTTCCCAGAATTCATTTGTCTTCTTGTAAAAGAACGTGAGAGTGAAAGAAATTGCGGCCAAATTACAAATTATTTTTGAATACAAATATTTTAATATCTTAAATATGTCCAGTCGTGTATTTCTTCTTCTTTTTTTTTTTTTCTTAAGCCTATTCCCCCCAAACAAGGCGGGAGTGTCACTAGCACGCAAGGGGTTACAGAGGGTAGAGAACAAGAGTAAATAGGCATGTTTGGGGAGAGGATAAAGAAAATGGCGTGGGAACAAGATCATGGTATCAGAAGATGTCGATTGACATTACACTTGAATATTTGAAGCAATTAAGAGGAAGAGAATTACACAGACGGGAAGTGTGAGAGAAGAAGCTGTTTGAGTACAAGAGACGGTTACATTTAAGCGTTTCGACAGTGAAAGGGTGGGACCGATGTGACACCCTAGTAACTCGCTTAAATTCATGCAATCTGGGAACCAGCGAAAGCAACCCATAAGGAAAAAATAAATTCTTCCTAGCTCTTTTCCGTCTGAAATATTTATATGCCATCAAAGACTTGTATTCCAACAAATGGAACAATTAGTTATTTTTCCACGAATGCTTTTTAATTCCAGAAACCTTATCAAAATCTGGTAAAAGTTGATCACAGGCACACACACACACACAGATAGATGTTGATTTCCTCAGCGTAGCCTCGATGCGGCACAAGGCTGAAAGTAAATTGCACACAATAAAGAACAAACTCAGTCGTAATTGTTCAAGCGTGACAGGCTTGTTAACCATTACATCAAATCGAGGCACCACCACACATATGTATCTATGATAAATGTTTGATATGAAATACCAGAAAATAACTATGTGAAGGTGAATTAGTGTTGAACGTTTTCTTGTCTTTGATTTTTTGTTATGTTAGCAACGTTTCGCTATGATTTTGTTTGGTTTGGTTTATATTGTGTCATACGTCATATCAATCTCAATGGGTTATTTAATGCCGGTAACATTTTTTATTGCTGGTAATATTTTGTTTTCTCAAAAATCTGTTACTGGTAACAATTTTCCTTCAAAATTGTATTACTGGTAATAAATAACTATTTGCCCATAGCTGGAACCATAACAGGTGCTACCACCCCGGGTCAGGGTGGATCTAGAAACATCAGCAATTAAGAGGTGGTTTCACGCTTCTAAAAAAACCTCCTGATCAGAGGCCTCACTGCAAGATGTAGTTTATCGTCTTACACAAGACGGGTTTCGATGTGAACGACTGCTTTTAAAATAAAGTAAAACAATAAGAAAGCATCGTAACCATAACAATAGAAATATATATATATATATATATATATATATATATATATATTTGTTGAGTTTCGTTTTGCTGAAAAAGACTGACAATGTAGTTTTCTTTAGATTTTTTTATTTTTTCTAGCATGCGTACATGATCAGGGCGTGTGCGCATTACTTATGAACATGGTCACAATGCAATGGCCGTATTTGGTAATGAAGAATATATCTACTTACAGTAATATTTAATACCGTTTACAATATTACATACATCCTTATTTTTGTAGTTGAACAAAAAAAAATAATCCAAGAAAATACGTAAAATTTTAACCGGAATCGCCCGGGAATCAAGAAATGATCGAAAAAAATGTTTAAATACAGAAAAGAAGACGCTTGTATTTATAAAAGGAAGTAGAATAAAAGATTAAACAATAGTACCTTGTCAATGAATCATGTTTACTGCCCAAATTCACTACTAAAAACGTCCTCTCTATCTCAATCTCTCTCTCTCTTTATATATATATATATATATATATATATATATATATATATATATATATATATATATATATATATATAGTTTCATCAATAAATTAAAAGAACTTTATACCAGTTACCATCTCATCGAATATGCAGGCCTGTCGCCAGAGTGATTTTCCATGTGGGGTGCGGCCTTCAAGGCAAGGGACAAGGAGTAAGAATTTTCACATTAAAATTAGTTTACATCATTTTTATGGGAGGAAGGCAAAGTCTTTAATGGTGGTCAGCCGCCCAGGTTCATCTTTTAGGGACGGGCCCGATTACATCTTGTGTTAGTCTGTATACAAGTGGGCTGATAAAATCTTCTCTGTCCGCCCTACTTAACAGTTATGTAAGCAATGTCCATCGCATCAAGAAAGTGCTTCTTGTGCGGTTAAGAACTTTTCAGCACCATTTCATTGAAGGTAATAATGAATCGCAGAAGAGAAGATGTTTGGAAACAGTTTGTGGACAATTGCAACTACAGAAAGTCTGATCCATCAGGATATATATATATATATATATATATATATATATATATATATATATATATATATATATATATATATATATATATATATCGTCTAAGGGTAAGATATCTGACTGATGTGAAATCAGCCGGGTTTCCATCCTGGCTTGAAGCAATCCGTCTTCTAGCCACTCTCAGGAGCTATGATACAGTGAAACAGTCTGCCTGTGGATGCAGCGAAACAGTCTATATATATATATATATATATATATATATATATATATATATATATATATATATATATATATATAACGTCATATGTTAAGAAATGGACAAGGTCCGACAATTTATTTATTAAAGACATTTTTATGTTTAACGTTCTTTTTATAGATACAAGTATTTAAGTAAATGCTCTGTTTATAATAAACAGTATTAAATAACATTTACCGGCTTGAATGTCCGAGAAATTTTCATAGAAAATATTCGTCCTTTGACAGGATTCGAACCTGCATCCTATACGGAACAGTCATTTACGCTGATGATGTGGCCGAGCTATAATAATGTTTTATTTTCCAAACACGGTTAGCACGTTGTGGCCGTGTTCATAGTTGATAGTATTTGCTTTTTCTTTCATTATTTTTAGCCTTTTTGTATATGTGGATGATGCTTTTATATTTGTATTATCAACGAATATGAGTTTGGTAGATCTCCATACGTATTTAAATTCTAAAGATATATATATATATATATATATATATATATATATATATATATATATATATATATATATATATATATATATATATAGAGAGAGAGAGAGAGAGAGAGAGGTGCAATCTATTGCGGCTCGAATTTAGAAATCGAGGGGTAGCAAATTCCAGTTGACATTGTTATAGTTAATTACGGGCAAATACTCCTGACACAATGTATGAATTCGTCTCTTAGTCTCCATTTACCTACGGGTTAAATAGTAGGACATACTGGGCTCATTTGCTTCGAATGGCAACCAGTCTACGAGAGGAAAAACGAAGAATTTCTCCTAGATCTGATATTCATGAACATAGTAAATGGTAAAATCTAGCAAGTTTGTGTCACGCAAAATTTGTGTAGAAAAACTTAGCGCGGGCGAAACAAGCCGAGCACAAAATCTTATTTAGTGCGATGCTTTTAGTTTCTCATAAACGCACCTGAGATGGGACTGGATCAATTTTCCCCAGGTATGGGTTAAATAGCAGGGTAAAATGGGTTCTTAAACTGCATGTTTACGAAGAAGAAATCTGTATTCAAAAGAGCGTGAGGTAATCGAGAAAACACTTCACTATCCTTTCTAAGATGTCAGGGTAACTTATATGTAATAAAGAAACAGAATACTCATTTACATTCTGAATGAAATCGGCATTTGAAAAGATTAACATTAGAGTTTAAAATTCCTATCTGTCAGCGGAGATCGAACATAGATCTATGGCACCGAGGAGGAATTCATTATCACATCACACATACGTTCATAACTTTTGACAAAAATGTACACGCTCACATTCAAAATGTTTTCACCAACATATACCCACTTATAAACGCTGTAAAAGGTTAAAATCACATTTTATTCTGACGTGTAACCAGATGTATCCGTAGTATAACTTTCTCTCTTTTTTCTTTTCGGACACACGCACACACACACACACACACACACACACACATATATATATATATATATATATATATATATATATATATATATATATATATATATATATATATATATATATATATATAAAAATCGTTAATGAATTGAGGCAACTGTCGTTTGTATACACACATAGATAATATATTCAAATTTCCTTTCTCTCCGTGTGCTTAAGGGTAGGATTTTTGACTGCTGCAAAATTAGTCGGGTTTCGATCCAGGCTAGAATCAATCGGATGTGTAGCAACACTGATGGGCTATAGATACAACTTGACCATATATACAACCGATGAATATATATATATATATATATATATATATATGTGTGTGTGTGTGTGTGTGTGTGTGTGTGTGCAATATATTATATATATTATTTATATATTATAGGCGAAGTACTTTTTGAAAGCGCTCAATATCAAAGATAGATCTAACATATTTAGTTGGATTAATGTGAGTTTTGACCTTGGTTTCACGCTATTTTCGATAGTCAGCCAAAGAGTTTGTCTGACGATCGCAAAAGCGTGAAACCCAGTGTCAAAAACTCACATCAATCCAAATACATATATATATATATATATGGGGGGGGGGTGTGTGTGTATGTCTGTGTGTGTAAGGTTTGGCGAGTTGTTAAACACAGTCATTGGTCTCTTCGTAACATGCATTCACATGTACAACGCGCCTGGTTCATACAAGTAACTAAGTGCTCATCTATACACTCAAACGTACAACCAGCTGCACTCTTATGCGATTGTGAACCAGTTTATGACTTTTGATCATAGATACTCATTGATTTCATTCAAAGCAAAAACAGCATAAAGATAAAACGTTATTTCAGCCACGTTAAAACTGCGAAGCATATGAGATTCCTAGAGCAAAATAACTCACTGATTAATAAACAAGTGTGAAAAAGGTGCTCTCAAATACACGTCATTTTTAGGTGGAGAAATACGTTCCAGTGATATGGAGATCATGCTAATATGAATGAAGACGGTAGCTGCTATCACTGCCATGTGCAACTGGGCCTTTCATTTCTTCTTCTTCTTCTTCTTCTTCTTATTATTATTATTATTATTATTATTATTATTACTGTTATTATTATTATTATTAATTGTAATAATAATTTTTCCGATTAAAATATTTTGGTGAATATCAGCGGAAACGAAGAGACATTGTGTCTTCTTAAATCTCCAGCACACTATTTAGTACCCTGGAAACAATTTTCTTGATAATTATACCTAAGAGCGGAATGTTGTCTAAGGGGATCAAGCGACAGTAAGTCACTCCAACCCGACAGCTCTCTCTTCATCAGTATGATAGATTTTGTTTATGTTACTGTCTGAATCGTTTCAACTCTCCATCTGATTTTTCATTCTGACCCTCTTTTGCTAGGTTCCTCGTTGTTGCTCTCATCGTCGTCTTCATCATCTTTAACAATATTATTTCATGTCAATAGCAATACCAGTATTTTCATGGTTTTATTCTTTTTTTACACCATTTTGCCATTATTTTCTTTATAATTCACAGACAATTCACACATATATATATATATATATATATATATATATATATATATATATATATATATATATATATATATATGTAAGATTTGTTAATATTTGTTTATTGTTGATGCTACTTGTACTACTGTTGTTATTATTATTATTATTATTATTATTATTATTATTATTATTATTATAATGCTTATATGCATTATCATCATGCGTTTTTTCACCACTACTATAAATGCTAGTCTTTTTACTACTAATGTTAATACCCATACTACTGGTGCTACATTTCGTAATAATGCTACCATGACAAATGTTTCCTCACAAAATTATCCGCATGATATTTATGAATAAATACAAAAGGGGAATCTGTGAGATTATTGCACTTGTTTGGAGGGCAATTTGAACACGAATAACAACTTAAAATTCCATCAAATCACATTGTCGAGAGTGGGGAGCGACTATATATTACGTCCAATAGAGATTTAAATATTTTCAATTTAAAAGCATCAAAAAAAAAAAAAGAGCGAAAATATTTTAAAAGTAAATAAAATATATGACAAATAAATAATAGATAAGCAAAAAGAAATATTATGAAATTATCTGCGGGGATTCTAGTCTGATAAATTTTCTAAATAAAAGCGTAACCAGTTAAAGAACCCTCTTACGTATAAGAAAAAGTTCGCGGTAACTACAGTTGTGAAATAATGGTAGTAAAAATATCGTCAGACAAGCAGCTACCTTATGTAAAATGAGTACAATTAGCTACAATCGCTGAAGTTGCAACACGAATATCAATTGTAAATGTAGCTGCAACATTAAAAGCAGTACCATTACTTCTTTATTCGTTCGCCGTGAGAAGGCGACGGCTTTTAAGAGCATTACGAAATAAATGGCTATTGATAATTGACTTGTAATTCTTATTAGTAAGTCTAGAGAGTAAAAAAGTGTTGGCAGTACCCTTGGGTATCACAGATTTTACAGCTATATAGATTAAACTTGTAACGGGAGCACGTGGTCTATAAGATAGGGCTAAGATAAAGAGATCAAAGCATAAGACGGAGAAATTGATTTAAACTAACGTATATCAAGTAATAAGAGACATGAGTAGACGGGTCGTGACTTTCAGTTTATAGAGCACTAGCAGTTGTTATATTATTATTATTATTATTATTGCGGGAAACCTGTTAAGATAATTCGGTATTTAATTAGGATAATAGATTAACTAATCAAATGAGAATCTAATCAATTGCCATTAGTAAAAGTTAACTAATCATTTGCCTGTCTCAGGTGTTCCCTGTCTTTCTCAATGCATACCTGCGTGTGTACACACACACACACACACACACACACACACACACACACATATATATATATATATATATATATATGTTTATGATTCTGCACATTTTCTCTCTCTTTCTCTTTCATACACGTATTATCTCTCGTTCCATTCAGTTAGTTTATATATCGTTTTATAAGAAATTTACTCCCTTTCGCGCTAATTTTGCTTCCTTTTTATTTCTAGCTTCTTTCTTTCTTTCTTTTTCTTTTGTTTTTTTGTTTTTGTTTTTGTTTGTTTCTTTCTTTCCCAGTTGGCTTTCTCGATGTCTCTCCCTTCTTGATTTCTACGTTTTACTATACCTTTTTTTTTCTGGATGAAGCCCCCCTCTTATTCCCAGTCACGATCTTTATTGATCTCTCTCAGTTCACATACGCTACCTCCCTCTCCCTCCCCTCTCCCTCCCGCTCTCTCTCTCTCGCTCTTTCTCTCTTTGTCACACACTTTTTTCTCTCATTCAATGTCGTTTACACCCTTCGCTTATAAATCTACGTTTCTTTTCTTTCGCCAAAGTGTTTGTGTCTCTCTCGCTTTCTCTGTCATTTTTTCTTTTCTTCCTTCTTTCTTTCTTTCTTTCTTTCTTTTTTGTAAATATATCAGTTAAAACGAGATGTCATTGTTATTTTCATTTTTGTGTGATTTAGACGACAAATTATCCATCGCATCCTTTATTTAGTGATGTTCATATTCGTTTCACTCGGTTCATACAATTTGAATATTTTCATTGCCATACACTGAAAACACTTAAAACGTTCTCTTTCTTTCTTTCTTTCTTTCTTTCTTTCTTTCTTTCTTTCTTTCTTTCTTTCTTTCCATACTGTCTTTCTTTCCCTACTGTATTTCTTTATTTTCCTTCTTTCTTTCTTTCTTTCTTTCTTTCTTTCTTTCTTTCAAAGACACCTTTCTCACTCACTCTCTTGACGTTCATTTCTTTATATATCTTTTCATGGATTAAACCTCTCTCTCATTGCCTTTCACACTCTTTATTGATTTCTCTCAATGTCACCATCCTATTCTTTTTCTTTCTTTTTTTCTCTATCTCTCTCCCCACCCTTATTCTTTTTATCTCGGGTGTTGCTCATTAGACAGCACAGAAAGCAGGAATGTTCGAAATTCTTTCCCAGTAACAGAACGATGAAACTTATAATTAACTTTTTTTCAACTGATCAACAATGAAACCCAAACAATGTAGTGACCTTTACGGGCAGCTAATGTACAATTTGGCAACACTGTAAAACAGGACATGTATAAGCTCTCATGAATCAACATCATTTCGTTTGAACTCCTTCTTTTTAACTATCCGTCTATCGATCAGGAGAGTTTTCGTTTTCTCCCAATCTGGTGGACTGGGTAGCCCGCTGTTAGCACAATGCTATTAATGGTATCGATCTTGGATGAATAACATGCAAATTGTAGCCTTGTGCCAATCTATACAAATTTTGAAATCAATCAGTTACACTACAATATGTAGTGATTAGCGGAGGCATCGATCGCGAATACATGTTCGAAAAGATTTCGGTCAGAAGGAATCTATGTCTCTCTGCCTGTCTCTATCTACCTTTAAATATTTGTCTTAATAACATTACGTAAATTATATATCTGACTGTCTGTCTAGTCTTCAGCATGTTTCAATATCTATCTA